CAAGTCAGGGTTTTGGGAGAGCTCTAAGAACACAGGAGCTATCCAGAAAAGGAAAGTAATATTTTCTTCCAGGGCAACATATGATCTTGAAGTCCTCAAGGATGAAATCTGAAGACAATTGCAAAAACAGAGGAAAAAAAATTGTATTGTTTCCTCTGTTAAATCATAGTCTACTGGGTGCCCAGAAACGTTCCCGTTTAAGGGTCTGGTGTGTAAAAGATTACCTATAGCTTGCAAGTCTTTCACATGGGATAGTTTCCATTTAGTGAAATACAGACCTCTGCAAACAGAGCAGTAGAGGTACTTCTAGGCATAAATCCATCATTCTGGCTGAGTCATGAAAAAGTGAGTCACTTGAAGACCTATATTCTAACTTGCAGGGATATTTTTACAGGGAGAGAGGTCAGATTCTAGTGGATGAATTTATTTTTCACTAAGTGCAGTTTACAGTTAATGTGTGTGTGAGATCAACAGAGTATGTCATTGTGGAATTTCCATTTTGTTTTTCAGTCATTGCTTTTATCCATTTAACCTGTGAACATAAACTAATGGTCATTCTAAAGTGACTTTTGGATGGTCAGTCTATTAGAAAGGCTAACAGATGGTAAAGGTTGAGGTAGTTTTTAATTGCAAATTCCTCTCTCTTTAATACTGTTTAATGGAACTTTCTCCCCAACCAAAATGTTTAGTTCATCATAAAAATACCAGCCCATTATTTTCCCACCTCCTGTATTCTTCTGTCTTCTGCCAAGTCCCCGGTGATTATTATTAACCATATTCACAATTCCAAGGATATCGAAGGATAACTTGTAGAAATCTAGATTTTAACTAATTTTTCCTTTTTTGTGTCTGTCCTCTCACTTCACAGATCTGGTTTCACCTGCATCATTGGTTTATTTAATTTTTTGTTTTTATCTTTGATTTTTCACAAGAGATCTTGGACACTAACCTAGTTTCAGCCTCTGGTTTCTAGTGGCGTATTTTCTGAATTTTGCTTGAGAATAAGGGAGGTCCCAAAAGGAACAAGAGAAAAAATCCACAATATTTAGGGACAGTGGTGTAGTGAATAGAAGAGTGTTGTCAGGCACAGGAGCTTAACAGTCAGTTAGGGCTGGAATTCCCTGAAAAAATGTAACTGCAAACAGCAGATGTGATGCCTGACTTGCAGTGTCCCTTTGCAGAAATTATTTAAAAGGTAAGACTTTTCATTTTTGAGAAAAACTGTGAACTCTTAGAATACACTATTTCACAGATTTTATGTATATATTAATCTTATGTAAGCCAGGGAATTGAGAATTTTTGTAAAAATGTTAGGAGATACGTCAACACCAAAACGATTTTCCTTTGTTTCTGCTGAAAGAGAAATTTAACATACTGTCTTTTCCTGATATAGTTTAAAAAGGGAAAAAAAAATCTCGAACAAAAGAAACCAACAAAATAATCCTGTAGAGATTTCATCTCATATAGTCTTAATTACAATATGATTTTTCCAGAACAGCATAACTGAAATATTAAAATCAGTTTGTGTAAACTTAACAGCAGAAATCCAAGCAACAACTGGAAGACCTGGAAGTGCAGGTACACTTTGGGCAAACCCCCCAGAAAAAATTTTTTGATATTTTTCAGATTTACAGTAATACTCCAGTATACATGGGATCCTGATGTTCAAATCAGCATAAAATATTAACTTTATTTTCCTTTGAGAGTGTGAGAAAAGGATTTTATGGCATTAGTTGTTCTTTGAAATGTAATGACTAGAAGAAAAGTGGTAGTTGCATTTGATTTTTGGGTGTGCATATAGGCAATTGTTGTAGAGCAGGTTATAGTATTTTCAGTTATTTAGAAAGCTTGTGATTACTAAAATAGAATAGACTACTTTGTTTTTTTTGTAAATGTTTGGCTGATTTGACGATATTATGCCAAGATATGTTCTTGGACATTGTTATCTTGATTTTTTTGGTTTGAATAATCTAGACACTAACTGTCAGGCATTCTTTGGGCACTGCAGTGTATAGCACCGCTAGCACTTGCCAAATGTCTGACTTACAGGCTCAGGCTGTTTTGATTTATCAGGTGGCAGAATGTATTCCTATCTGTTGCTCCCTGTTACAGGCTAGGAGCCAGAACAGTGTTCAACACGAATGCACTGTAAAGCAAATACATTTTTATGCGAGTGGGTCGCTCTTCGTACTAGAAGAGCGATTTGATTATCGTTATCTGGAGGAGCTAGCAATTAAAATTAAGTAAGTTTGTTCTGGTAGATTTTGTTGGGTTTGTGTTTTTTGTGTTTTTTTGGGGTTTTGGTTTTGTTTTTTTTGGGGGGTGGGGTGGTTTGTTTGAATTATTGAAAGAACTCTTAAAATAATTAACATACCCTCTCAAAATTAAGTTTAGTGCTGATGCAATATTGACATACACTACCTATTTCTGTGGTAAAGGATATGAAACGAGCAACCATATAATATTCCAGTAAGCGGATTGGAATACAAAATAAGCAACCTTGCAGTGATTAAGATGAGAATGACAAAAATGCTGTTTCTCCTTTCAGCAACAGATGATTTCTGTGAAAGACTTTGATTCACAGAAGTATTAGATCTTTTGTTGTGGCTGGTGGCAATATGAATCTTGGAAGCTATCTGTTTCCTTTTCACACCTCTGCTTTTATGGAATGTGCTTGGATAGCAAGTACAGGCAGGGGCTGTTGAGCATTTTTTTGCATCCCAATAGCAGCAACTACCAATTTATAGTGCAGGAAAAGAGGAGGTGTGGAAAACTTAATTGGTATTATAATTATACTCTGTCCAGGTGCTTTATAGTGTCAATTGAGCAATAAACTTATTTTCATAATTGCAGTTTCAACTGGGAATTTTGAGCTACACCTGCTTCTCACCTTGTAAACCACTGAGTCCTGTTAAGTGTCTCTTAATGCCATGTGGGCTATACATTTCACAATTTCACTTACAGACTTAATATGGACCACAGTCCCTGTAGTGGATGGAGCAACGCGTTTTGCTCTTGAGAGAAGTAGCAATATGTTCGTACAAAACAATGGTCTAAAAAAGTTTGTTAGTAAGTGGTGACAGTGGTTTAACATGATTCAATGGCGAGGTACTCTTGATTATTTACTACATAGAGGACAGGGTAAAAAAAACTGTCAGAAGACCCTCCCATTGGATCATGAGGTTCAGAAAGGATTCCCTTGCGTTCTAAACTCCTTCTCAGAGAGGAGTCTGTGTGGCTGGATCCAGACTTAGTCCCAGACTTGGTTAGCAGTTTATGTCTAAAGGACTATATATGTGCACAATCAACCCTTTATATCACTTCATTAGGATTTCAAAGTTTAGCATGATATTAATCACTTACCAAAAATCTGTTGTGGCAAGGCATCTCAAGGAGTAACATGAGATGCTGGTGTGCAGCCCACTGCCATGCAGGAGAGCTCAATGAGCTTTGGGCTGTCCACAATTCATGGAGTAAGATGATTGACTTGCATTTACATACTGACTACAGGTGGGGATTTTTCTCTAAATTTGGCTTGAGTTGGACATTGACTAGCACCATGGTTATGTGGGTGCATTGTTGAAATGAGCTCTGGGCTATTGTGTTGTTATCTGTCTCTGCTAATCCACTTTGAACCAGATGTAGCCATCATGACCAGACACATCCATTGTGATCACTACTGCTGGTTATCACTTGAGCAGGCAGGTTGGGGAGCATGCTGCCACAGTCCCATAAATGTTTTTTTTTGCTCAGGTGCCTGTGTGATTTCTATGCTAATACTTGAGTTCCCCTTCAGACACCTGTGACTAGCAGAGCTATGTGTATGTTGTGATTATAAAAACAGAGGGCATGAGCCTTCCACTGGATTATCTCTATGTATGTGTATTTATATACACATATATATATATATATCTGTGCAAAAAGGGAATGAAATTATACCGTTGTTTTGGGAATCAGAGCTGTTGTTAGTATGAAGAAGTTGGAAGAAAGGTAGATCTGGCTAAATCTATGTAAATGAAAGTGTCAGCTTCATCAGAGAAGTAAAGCTGATAGAACTACAGGATGACTATAAAGGAAATCAGCTTGATGCTGTTGAGACTTTATGTGGCAAGCATGAAAAAAAGGGAAGGAATTGGCAGGGGTGGATAAGGAAAGAGATATGATGTATAATATGAAGTGTGATTAAAAATTATTTTAAAATCAGACTTTGGCATCAAGATAATTGATTGTGTCTCTTTTTGGAAACTTATGTGTTACCAGACAAACGAGCATTTCAAGAATAATGGTTCAAATTACTTTTGTGGAACCTTGCAATCTCTTGAGTACTTTCAGTACATTTCTTTCTGTGTAAATTAACTTGTGTCACAGATGTTAGTGTGATGTGTTAGATGTTATAAACTGTAATTGCCTTTGATCTGTATGTTGCTATTAAATGAAATTCCCTGAATTACATTGACTGTGTTATGGCTGCTATTGAAGTGGCAGTTGTTAAGACCCATGAGAGCTGGAGATATTTGGCACAAGTGGAAGTGGGAAGCCAGTCCATGATAACTTAGCTCCTGTAATAAAAAAAACTAGACATTTATTAATTTCATTAACTTCAGAGAGTCCTTTTATTTGAAAAGACATTGTATAATAATGATGGATTGACTAAATCAAAATTCGAGATTGTTAGATATTGATGATTAAGAAACAAAGAGAATTTTAGTGTTTTCTGAAGAGGAAGAACAGGAAGCATTTTCCTATTTTTTCTTTATTAAGGTAGTTGCACTTTTTTAAACAATTATTCCTCACATTTTTAGGCATATATCCATGAAAATAAAAATCTTTAATCAGTTGCTTGTTTCTGATTTCCACTTGCTTTTTCCTCTTCAGGTTATGGCTGGTGTGAGGGAAACCTTTCTTTTTTATATATATTACAGCATGGTGGTGTTTGTTTGTTTGTTTTTCACATGCACTATTTTCATAGAGGTGGATGTTGTTTGTTTTTTTTTTTCCAGAACCCTGTCAAGAAAATTCCAGATTCTCATGAAATTACACTCCAACATGGGACAAAAACAGTAAGTGATAACATATTTTCAACACATTGTTTTTTGAGAACTGAGTTAGTCTATGAAATAAGTTAACAAATACCTACTGTCACCTAATGTTCAAGCATCTAATTCTTTTTCTGAATTTGTTATTTTAGTGTAGCGCTTTTCTTACTGCAGTTGAAAGTGTGTTTTAGGACTGCTTCTTCACTTTGTTGTCATAACCCCATGTGGCTCCATTTGACTCAATCATCTCATTTTCTTTTTCTGTTTGGTCAGATAGACTCTCTGCAGTTGTTAGAGTTCCTCTTCCAAGCTAGACCTTCCTAATGTAGGCATGGGTCTAATCTAGACCTTTGTTTGATACATCACGGATTTCAAAGAGAGTATTATTGCTGAAGTTTCTAAGACTACTTTGTAACTGAATACAACTTTCCTTCATTCTTCTTGAATCTTTACGTGCCATTTATACACCATTCTCAATTGCTTGAAGCCTTGCTCTTCCTTGTCTTTTCCCCATTTCACCTCCAATATTACTCTTTCACTTTCTTTTAAATAAAGACTGTCCAGCTTGTAACTATAATTTCTTTGTTCCCAATACTTTTGTCTCTGGGTAACCTCATGTTTCAACACAAATTCAAGTGCTTTTATTTGCTGATTGATTGAAGATCTATTTTTATAGACTGGAATTTATTTTCTGACTATGAATAGCCTTGAATCTATTCCCAAATCCTTTCCTGTATTGTTCTTCGGTCATTAAAAAAAGATGCTGCTGCTCCTTATCCTCTTCAGTTTGGGACATGGCTTAGGCTTCAGTGGGAAAGTAAAACTGGAATTTCTTTTTTTGTTATTTCTTTTATTGTTATTTTTGTTATTGTTATTTTACCCCTGCAAAAGCACTGTTCACTAGTTAATAGAATTCTCACTCATGTCATTCCTGAGATTTTAATTGGAGAGAGGAGAAAAACAAAGAAAGAAAAATAAACCACAAAAATTATTTGAAAAAAAGCTCTTTTTCATGAGGTTTTAAACAACCTAAGAAAATGTATAATTTTTCTTTATTGGAGTTTTAATAAAACTTGTAGGTTTGTTTTCTATTCATGTAATTAATATAATACATTTTAAAATTCAACAATACTAAATAATTTTGAATAAGAAATTTACCAAATTAAAATAACATACCAATTTAAAACATCAAATGTCAATAATTTGAATTTAATATTTGAATTTTTTAATTAATCTCTTAGTATTAAACATTTTAAAGTAATTTTCTGGAAATTTAAATTTAATAGTAAAGCTTTTAGAAACAGTTATTTTCAGAAGTGTCTATTCATTAATCTGGTATCAGACTGTGGTCTGTCTTGGTGTGTGGAGAAGTGATAAAGCTTACCCATTTGTTTTATCATAGTGCTAGACATGCAGAGGTAGAGGGAGGAAAGGAAAAAAGTAACAAGTCTGTTATAAATTAAAATAGTAGAATATTCTCTTTTAAGATCTCTAGAAGATGCACTGTATAACACTAAACGAGAGTGGATTTTTATGTACACAGTGCATGTAACTTCTTTGCGTACTAATTTGTATGCATACTGGGATTTGCATGCTAGTGAACTAGTGCAAGGCAGTTTCCCATTTTACATGTGACAGTAATTGTTTCTCTAGGATGTTTCTTGAATATATTTCCTAACAAACTTTATGATGTAATTTTTTGAAATTATTTATTTCTATATTAACCCAGTAAATCAATTTGATGGCTCCTTAAACCATAAGCTCATGTTATTTGTAACTAAAGGGGCTTTGTAAAGTGGAAGTTACAGATTTGGAAGACTTCTGAGATATTTTGACTGCATGAGAATGCAGCTGTCAGCATCTAGAACAGAGGTGAAATATAATGTGAGTATATATAGAGCTGTTGGATTAGACTGGATGTGGTGAATGAAGCATACCATTGAAAAAAAGAGCTCTTCTTTAGAAGGACTATCTTTCTTTTGTATTTGTTTTAGAATAATGAAACTAGTTACCCATGTCATTACACACATGTGAGGAATGGGGGCAGCTTTATATCTTGCTATCAGTGTGTGACCCCAGCGTTTTAAAATACAGTCTTCTCATGTTCATACTGCGTATTGTATTTCAGCTAAACTTATGTATCCCATCTGTACCTCTTTAATCTGATGAACGTGGGTTTGATGATGACTCTATTCCTGTGCAGCTGAAAAGTCTCAGAAAAGATTTCCCGAGCTTGAGAGTCTTTCCAGAAACCTCATTAATTTCCCAGTTGCCTTGCTTGTGCAGCGTAATAGCAGTTACTGTTCCCAATGAAACTTCAAGGAGATAGATAGATAGATAGATAGATAGATAGATAGATAGATAGATAGATAGATAGATGGATGGAGAGAGAGAGATGTTTTCTTCTTTTCTCCTGACAATTTTGATACATAGGTGGGTATGAGAGAGAATGCATAATCAGAGGTTTTCTGAACAGTGTGCTTTTTAATGTCTCATATCACAGCTGCTCCTTCCTGTAGTAGTTATTGTAGAATAGAACACTTGAGTCTGTTAATTGAATGCATGATTAATCTGGAGATGCCCAGTTTTTTGCATATTAGAAATCATGAATGGGGTTAAAAATTTGCATTTAAATGTTAAAAGGGCCATTTTTATTGAAAACGTGTAAGAAGTTGCATCTGTTTCAATTGGAAATCAAATATGTCACTGACATAATCACTTAAGTGGAGTTTAATTCGTTCTTAGGGATAGCACACAGCAGTACATTTAAACATTTGATTCAGGGAAATAAAAAGAAAAATGTTGAATCTGTTAGTAACTCTGTAAATTAGATTTTTTTGGGGAGCACTCGATTAGGACATCTGATGATACTTTAGAAGAATGACGTTTTAGACCTTCTCTGAAAGCTAAGATTTCTTCAAGTGAATGCCTTTAAAATAAAGCGGGACAAGTAGATTAAGGAGTCATCAGTTGCTTGGTAAACAGCAGCATTATTTCTGCAACATCTTGGTTTTCCTGAAAGTACTTCTTTCAGACTGGCTATATGGTAGCACTGTACCTTTGAAACGCAATGAGGAGCAGTGTGAGCCTTAAGAACAACACGACAAGAAATGAGCCTTTGATAAAATAAGGAATGACTAAGTGAACATTTTGTACATGAAACTGGAACAAGAAAACGCAAAAGAAGCCCATACTCTTTTCATATAGGGAAACCTTAATTTTAGCAAAACAACTGTTTATCTTAAAGGATAAATTCCATTCATAACTGATGTTTTTATTGAAACACCTCTTTTCCGTAGGTTACTTTTTCAGCTGGGCATGGAATAGGGATTATCTCGTACTAAATTCCATTTGTTTGAAACAGTGTTTGTGTGAGAACCATTTAACAGTTTACATAAGTTTTAAGTCTCCATAACACAGTGTGTATTTTAAAGTTTTAAAAGTATAGTAGTAGACTGATACATCTTTGAGACAAAGGGGTTTTTGGTGGTACTTCTGTGTGTCTGCATTGAATTGTAGTGACTGTCAGTACTTTTCCTGTATGTATGTAAAGAAGATACATAACAATGAGCATCCTTATATGAAAATGATTGTAATTTTTGTACATCGATATCTGGAATTTTTGATAGAGGTTTAGGCACCTGAAAATAATTGGCCTGATTTCCCTAAATATGAATTCTGCGAGTTTTTATCTACCCAGTAAAACTTTTTCAGTCATTTTAACATTTCAGGTTAAGTGTAATTTTGACTAATTCTAAATATACTCTTGTTTTACAGTTTTTGACATCACTTTCAACGCTATCTCACATAGATGACAATTTTGGAGAGTTAATCTCTTTATTTGATTTACAAATTAGTTTAGCATATTGTCTAGGTAATATATTAATACTTGAAATCATGGTAGTAGATAATATTTTCACAAATAAGCAAAGAGAAGAAATAATTTTGAAGGTAAATGAAAAGATGTTTAATCAGTGAGGTGTTTTCTATTAGTCTTCTCCCAATGCTGGTTTGAACACTGCTATAATAAAGTTCTTCAAGTAGAGAATTATTTTTTTCACTAAAAATTCCATTTTAATCAAGCTTTGATTTGGGGATAGCAATTTAGAGTAATGTGCATTAATCATTCTTTCCACAAAGTTGTAAGTAGCTTTAAGGACCTCAATTCCTGTGTTCAGTTTTGGGCCCCTCACTACAAAAAGGACATTGAATGACTCGAGCATGTTCAGAGAAGGGCAACGGAGATGGTGCAGGCTCTGGAGCACAGGTCGTAGGAGGAGCAGCGGAGGGAACTGGGGGTGTTTAGTCTGGAGAAGAGGAGGCTGAGGGGAGACCTCATCACCCGCTACAGCTACCTGAAAGAAGGTTGCAGAGAGCTGGGGATGAGTCTCTTTAACCAAATAATAACCGATAGGACAAGAGGGAATGGCCTCAAGTTGTGCCAGGAAAGGTTTAGACTGGATATTAGGAAGCATTTCTTTATAGGATTTGTTAGGCATTGGAATAGGCTGCCTGGGCTGACACAGCGCTGAGGGATATGCTGTAGCTGGGAACTGTCAGTGTTAAGTTAATGGTTGGACTGGATGATCTCCAAGGTCTTTTTCAACCTAGATGATTCTGTGAAAATTCAAAAACAAGATATAGCTGACACATTTTGGGAAGAAATCAGCGCATTTAATTATTCTTTTGACTTTAGTAGTATTGTACATTTTGGTAATACCTGAAGAACTGCAAGAAAAAAAAATAGTAAAAAGCTTCAATGATGTCTTTTTTTTTTTTTTCTGTATAGGTTTCTGCTTTGGGATTGGATCCTTCAGGTGCCCGTTTGATAACTGGTGGATATGACTATGATGTTAAATTTTGGGATTTTGCTGGAATGGATGCCTCTCTCCAGGCTTTTCGGTCACTCCAGCCTTGTGAATGGTAGGTATGAAGACTGTCTTTTTCACCTAAGACTGTACCTGCGTTAAACTCCCAATAGAATCACAAAATCCTTGTAAAATAGCTTGTTTAGAAGGGTTCTATATCCCACTATACTTTTTGTAGTAAATGGAATGTGAACCTAAGAACTTGTCTGCTTATATCTCTTCATGCTTTTTCCAACGACTTGCATATTTTCCCCTTTTAGAAAGCTACAGGTGAACTTGCAGATGAAATTGTTAATAGTGTTTCTCAGCAAATAGGCTATGAACCTCTCAGAGACAGGTGGACTTTCATATCGGGCTGTTTGGAAATTGATTGCTGATTTCAACCTATATGTTTGAAGTGACATAGCTCAGAATAAAATTTATTAATGGAAATAAAACCCGTTAGAATCAACACATTTTTGCCAGTGAGAAACAAGCATGTTTATTCCGGTTGCATAAAATTCTGGACTTCTGGAGGCGATGAAGTCATTGAAGGCAGTTTTGGCCTCCCCTTGGTTTCTGAAGCGTCTTCCGCACAGGAAGCTGTTGAGATGCTTGAAGAAGTGATAGTCGGTGGACGAGAGGTCTGCTGAGTACGGTGGATGAGGAAGAGTTTCATAGCCCAGCTTGTTCAACCGTCGCAGCGTTGAAAGTGCAACGTGTGGCCGCGCATTATTGTTGAGAAGGATTGGACCCTTTCTGTTGACCAGTGCTGGGCGCAGCCATTGAAGTTTCTGGTGCATTTCATTGATTAGCTGGACGTACTTCTCCGCTGTGATCATTTCACCCAGATTCAAGAAGCTGTGATGGATTCAACCAGCAACAGACCCAACAGTCAGCATGATCTTCTTTTTTGTGCAGATTCGGGTTTGGGAAGTGCTGCGGAGCTTCATCACGGTCCAGCCACTGAGCCGATCGTCACCAGTTATCATAGGGCATCCATTTCTTGTCGCACGTCACAATACAGTCGAGAAACAGGTCGTTCTGGTTGCGAAAAAGAAGTGCCGATGACAGACACTTCAGAACGGCGATTTCTGTGATTCTCATTCAGTTGTGCGGCACTCATCTGTCGAGCTTCTTTGACTTTCCAATCTTCTTCAGACGCTCAGAAACAGTTGATATGCTCACCCCGAGTTCTTTTGCAAGTTCTCGAACAGTTGTGCTTGTATCTGCTTCCACCAGAGCCTTCAATTCATCGTCGTCATTAGCAGAAGGACGTCCGTGACCACCTTGATCTTCAAGGTCGAAATCGCCACGTTGAAATTTTTGGAACCAAATTCTCACTGTCTGTTCGTTAACACTTCCCTGGCCATATACCTCATTGATGTTTCAAGCAGCTTGCGCTGCATTACATCTGAGTTTGAACTCGTAGATCTGTCGAAATTACTGTTTTGACATCTGAACTTCAAAGCTCCAAAATTTGTCAAAAACGCAGTTTATATTATAATTTAATTATACAGCGTGAAAGTTCATAACATGAGCTTTTCAAAAATACATAACAGTATGCCAGTCGAAAAGGTACTATTCCTGAAACATGTACAACGAAAATCACATTACAAAACGGAAATTAATTTCCAAACAGCCTATAGTTGTGATTGAAATTAATACAGTACACTTTCCATATGTACTCTGCTTATATAAAATCAATGAAGAGAAGAAAGTTAAAACAGTTGACCCCTTTGTGGAGAGCTCCTGTAGTTGCTGCCAGTATTTCTGAGTGGTGGGTATCTAATTTTCGTTAAGTCCTCTGTTTCTGGAAGTACTGGTCCTTTGTATTGCACTGGTAATTGTATAGCTACACCGTGTGCATTAGAAAAAGTATAAATCTGTTGTCTTTTTCAAAGGAAAGAAACTATATGTTTATTAACATTTATCTATATATTTTTACATATGTAAATTTAAAAAAGAATACAGAAAGCATTTTTTTGAGTGTGATCTCCATACTGTTCACTGGTAATTCAGGAAGCAGGTGAACCAAGTTCACTTAGTTATTCCAGAGAACTGGAATACAGAACTCCTTCAGGAGTGCATGTCTCATGCACAGTGAACTTTCAGATAAACACCTTCATGAATTAGTAACACAGTTGTTCTAGCAAGATACTTTCTAATGTCTGGGAATTTACAAGATACTTAGGTATGCTTTAAAAAGAGATTGAAATTTATTATGCTCAGTAAGTAGTTTTTAGAATGTCTATTTTTAATCATTATTGTTTTAAAATGTTAAGCTGAATTTTGGTTAGTTTATAAGGTTAGATATGTATGACTACTTACAGATGTGCCAAGAATAATGGATAGGTAATGATAAATGAGAAAGTTAGGACTGTTAGCCTGAAAAGGAGCAAAATAGAAAGGGATTCCATTGATGATTGAAATTGCAAGAAATCAGGAAAAGGTGTGCTTTGATTCATTATGCAATTCTAATCTCTTTGACAGACATAGCTCTTTATAATAAACTTATGAATGACACATTTACTTTGAAAATAATTTGGTAAACATGCCACTTTGAAATAAATAAATAAAATTATCCAAATGTGAAGACACATTCAGACTCTTCTGGCATGAGTTTCATTTCTACAACTAGTTAGCAGGATACAAATGGGATTTTCCTCTCCGCTCAGCCATAACTGAGCAGTTTAAAAAGATCTGACAGTCTTTACTGCCACAGTAGGGGATTATTTTAACTGAAGCATTTCCAAATTGAAGTGTGCATTAAGATTTGGTATCACTTGGTAATGATGATGTAAGACATAATTATACAATACAAACCACAAGCACAATGTAGGTTAACATCCCATTTCAAGGAAAGCAGCTTGCAAATACATTTGCACCCTCCTTTTGGCAGAAACTTATGGTAAAATATGAGCTTAAATTACTTGTTATTTCTGATGCCATTCATTTAGTGTGTTACAGGTATCTCTTAAGTATTGTTATATGCATGTTCTTGGTCAAATGTACATTCTTGTTGTTTATGTTCAGGTATAAATGGAAGACATAAAAATATAAATAATATATTTACAGGTGAAAAGTTTGGGAATTTCGCTTATGTTGCAAGTCTCATGTACTAATACTGAGTTTTAAAAAATGTATTATTTAAATACCCCTTCTGTATCTTTAAACATAAGACTGGAACTATAGCTCTGGTAAAAAGATCCAAACTCAAGAAAAAGTTCTTTCATGCTGACGTTGAGGCATGCTGGTGACCACTATGTGGAATATTATGTAACTTATGCACAGCTTTATATGTATATTTTTTTCACTATGGAATATATTTCAAGGACTATTGGTATTGACAAACCTTAATATCAAAGAATTCTGAGGAGTTCAGGTACAGAAGCTTTAGGTATTAGCAAAAATCCAGTTCTGGAGCCATAAATTTAATTTCATTTGACGAATAAAAAAGCCTGAGAACAATTCTATATTGTCCAGGTCTCATTTTGTAGTCTAATACCAGGTTACTCTGTTTATGTCTTCTTGGATGTGGGACATAAGGAAAAAAAAGAGCCTGGCAGTAAATTAGTACCTTCAAATCACACCTCAGTGTTACAGGCAAAGATAAGGGTAAGGCACTGTGTTACATGTGTAGAAATTATTTGTGTATCATGATTCTACCCGTGTATGTAGGTCTGTTCTGCAGATCCTGGCAGAAAGTACTGTGAACATTTGGCAGCTTTAAACGAAAATAACTTGGATTGATGCTGTTAAAGGGAATTGTTTTTATAAGTTTCCCAAGACTTTTGTTTTAATATTAATAAGAACCAAAAATGTTTTCTTTAAGAACTGCCTCTGCAGAGCCTCACTCTTGGTCATACTCCAATAAACATCTGAAAAGTGGTAACTTCTGGGGCTTTGCAAATACCCTGCATATAGGACTGATTTATGGGCATGATTTTAGAAGTCATATTGCACAGTCACAAAGGTTGGGGTTTTTCCCTTTATGTAAAGGTTGAGGAAATATTTTCTCTCAGACTAATTTTTTCACGACTGATTTGATAAATTTAGTAGTTATGTTCCTATTGTGCTCGGTGCTGTAAAATCAGGTGCTTTTCATTGTTAGAAGAAACTTTAAGGTGAAATCAAAGTTTGTTCAGACATGATGATATAGGTATGCGTTAAATTATGAACAGTACCATGTTAACAGTAATGTTTGTATTTTTAATTTCAGTACTAAAGAGTCTGACAAACAGTTCTTTTAAAAGTCTGGCCCTGTACATACTGTGAATTCTCTCAGAATTCAGATTTTAGTTCTGGACAAGCTGTTTATTGATATCTAGTGGCCAAATCCTCTTCATGCATAAGGCATGCCTCAAGTAAAAAAAAATCTTTTAGTTAGTTTTATATGTTTTATTTTCAGTTCTTACACTTCAATAGTGAAAAGTGTAAAACATGAATCTATGCTTTGAAGGTGTGTTGGGTATATTTATTTGACAATTTCAGTATTAGAGTGAGAGAAATATAACTAGGTAAGTACTTCATTCTGCAGTTCAGGTGGGGCTCTGGAATACTTCAAGCATTGTACAAATGACGTGATATGGCAAGAGCACTTAATTCCTGAGATATGCTTGTTGCTCTAAAGCTGAATGTGATGGATTCTTTAGTCTAGGTTTATCAGCTGTTTGCAAAGAATATTCTATTGTTTTTCTTGTGGGTTTCTTTTTAGTTTTTTCAGTGTTTTCTCTTGCTTAATGTAGCTGGTGTCCTTTCTCCTCTTCTAAGCAAGTATCAATTTTTGCTTTTGAGACTCAGGATGCTTTTTCAGACCTCGCCTGTGATCTGTTTTGGAAATTTCCAGATTTGAGTATCTCCTTTCTACTGAAAATCAGAGTTTATAATACTTCATCCAATTTGCCTGCCAATTTATATTACAGAATAGGGTGCTTGAAGCAATTTTTGGCTTTTGAATGTAGTCATTTTTGCCAAACATTTTTTGATGGAGAAACTTAGGGTTAGGTTACATTATTATGATCAATGCAGAACTTTTCAAATATATTTCATATGTTTTGTGTGGTACATCACAGTTTGAGGACAGGTTTAACAGTTAATAGCTACTACTGAGTTAGTCATGAAGTCACTACCATGTAAGACATGAAACATTAAATTGGTTGCATCTTCAGTTTTGTTGATATTCTGGGTGTTTACTGATGTGAAGTTGCGTACAAAGTAGTTTCCATAAAGTAATTAGGTTTTGAACACACATGGTTATGTTCTTCCCCAAAAGGAATATTCTCCTCCTTTGAGGACAGTTTGTATGCCATGGGAATCCAAATCTAGCATACACATGCATTCCAGTCCTTAATTTGGGGTTATTTTAGTTGCAGAGCTGAATCATTAATCTAAAGTAAAGTTATTGTTTATGTTCTGTTAATGTGCCAGGATATAAATTCTGGCAGGTGTGGAGTGGATAGACTGCTTTGCATTCTTTGCTGTCCTTGTAATTAAGTATATAGACAGGTAGGAAATCAAAAGAGTATCTGCTTCAGATAGAGGAACTGCAGTGAATTTTGTTCATAAAGCAGAATGTTGAGAGAAGATCGTGAAACTGGAAACAGACTTTCTACTCATCAGCCATCTTCCCACTTTCAGTTAATAATTTTTGTTGTCTTGGTATTATTCCAGGATTTCTGTCCCACGTTTTCTCAATCAATAGATGATGCATGTAAGAAAACGTTTACAACACATTGAGTAATCATCTAAGACGTAGTAGACTAGGCAGATTGCTAGGTTCTGTCATGTTCCCAGGGTTGATGGTATATTAACTATATCTAAGATTCTGATGAAACTAGCCATGAACATAGAAAAAAAGATGCAAAATTCTAACATGACTAACTTCTCAGTGTACAATGTACAGTGGAGTTTTACGTAGGACTACAACATTCTTTCATAGAATTTTGTAGATTACTGTAACTCCACATGTTGCTCTTAAGTTGAAATAAAATTTTCAGCCCCAATGAGCTGAATCTTGACACATACTATTTTTCACTTGTGGTTATAAGAGCACTCTTCAAGTTAAATGTTTGCCAGAAATCACATTTTAGGCGCCAACTTTGTAAGTAATACTGTTTGATGTGCTGTGTGGTTGAAGAAGTAAATGTGATGTGCACATACACACAGAGAGGAAGAAAAAGCTTCAATCCCTTGATAGCAGATTTCCTTCCCCCCCCCCCTTTTTTTTTTTTTTTTTTAGTGTAGGCTTACAGGAACTGAAGTTAATTAAAACATTTTCTTTTTTCTTTTCAGTCACCAAATCAAATCTTTACAGTATAGCAGCACGGGAGATGTTATTCTTGTTGTCTCTGGTAACTCTCAGGCAAAAGTTCTTGACAGAGATGGCTTCCCAGTAATGGAATGCATAAAAGGAGACCAATACATTGTGGATATGACAAACACAAAGGTAAAATATGAAATTCATTGAATGTCAGAAGACTAACAATATTTTGCTCTTAATGAGAAAATTCATGAAGTTTAATAAGGAATAATGCAAAGCCCTGTCTCTGGGGTGCTTTAGTCCTGTGTATTAATACATGCTGAAAGTTGTAGGACCTTCATCCATGGAGGCTTTCAAGATCCAGCTAGACAAAGCCATGGGTGACCTGATCTGGTGTTGGCTGTCATCTGGTTTTGGGCAGGAGATTGACTTAGGTGATCTCAAGGTCTCTTCCAACTAATGGTTCTATGATGCTACAGTAAACTCTTCTGTTTAAAGATGTATCTTGTAAAAATTCCCCCATACCACTGTCCAACCAACCAGAAAACAAAACAAAACAAATTATTGATCAGACCTAGTCAGTTCCTTTCTTCTACCTTCCATTGTTTTGATGATACAATTTACCTTTCAAGGAAGGGGCTAGAGAAAAAGGGGAAGTATGATTCCATGCCATTTTCTGAAAAAAAAAAAATAAATAGAAGAATGGTAGAGTTTTTATAATTGAAAAACGAAAACAAGCAAGGATGAAATGGATTAGAATACATAAAATCTATTAAATCATTGTGATGTCAGTCAGCCTTTGCTGTGGTCAGAGTGGTCTGATTCGATCCTCAGCTTTCCTGTGACTCCACTTGAAGAACTTGAAGTAAAACTTATTAAACCTTGTAAAACATCTAACAAAACCTTTTAATACCTCTTTGTGTTTATTTCCCTAGGGTCACACAGCAATGCTGAATTCAGGCTGTTGGCATCCAAAAATAAAGGAAGAATTTTTGACATGTTCTAATGATGGGTGAGTACTGAGGTTTATCTTTGTCAGGGTTTTTGAGACCCTTGTTTGGTTTCTGTGTTTTAATATTGTACCCTCATCCTTTTAAATCTTGAGCAAGTATTCAGGACAATATTAGGTGAGATCTGGAAGCAAAAATATAATTTGTTTTGGCTTTTGATTATTAATGCACTTTGTATTATTTTAGTTTTGTGATTTAATATTTACTTTCATGATATTTCATGATAGTTGTTGGTTAAATATGTTTTACAAAAATTCTTGACAAAATTTAACTTTACGCATTATATCTTCAGAGTAGAATAATTCCTGTGGAGATACTGAAATATAACTGAACTTGCTGGGAAGATAAAAGTATTTCAATTGGAAGTTGCATGTTTTATGTTAAGTGTAATTCAATATTGATGAATGTTGTTTGACAAGTGTCAGAGTGACTGTCAGAAATAATTTTGTGTCTTCAGTTTTGATCTTTGTGGTTAGAATCAAACTGCAAAATGTCACAGTGGCACTTGCATTAATAAAGTTAGTGCAGCTGTCAGTAGCAAGATCATGAGTGATTTTTTGAACTGGTGTTTAAAATATGCAATCACCTTTACTCCAGGGTGACAGTGAGTGGGAAGACTGAATTGTCCCACTGATGTATCTATAGTGTGGTCCATGATAAACAGAAGATTTCAGTTACTTTAAACAACATGGATTTTTTTTTTTCTCCAAAAGGGACCTACCTATTGGTTTAACAGACATATACAATTTCCGGTAAGACTGTGGCAGAAGAAAAAAATCTTGAATACTACAATGTTCTATATGGAGCTGTAAAAATGAAATTGTAAAAATATGTGCAAGTTAAGCCAACTATTTATTTTTTCCAGCTTACAGATGCAAAGGTTTTACTTCCATAGTTAAATTTTATTTATAGTAGAGTAGATACTTTAAAAAAGTGTGTTGCTCTTATGAATGTAGTTAGACATTAGTAGAGCTTCTTAATTAAGCTGAATAGTTTGTGGATAGTGGAAAAACAAATTAAGATACTATAAATTTTGAAGATTGTGTAATATTGTCACACCTAAGCAAGTGCTTTAACTAATATACCAAACAAGGGTTCAGTGCATCCCTGATGCTTGAATTGCTGTGGATTGAAATGATCTGGTCAAGTAAGTAACATCCAGATAAACACTACTATAAACAGCTGCATAATTGCATTTTCAGAGACGCTACATGACTGATGTTACGGGAAAAGTATTCTAAACCCATTTCATTTTGTTTCATGGTAGTGACAGGTCTTCTCAGGATTTGAATGTGTCATGAAAAGAAACAGTTTGGATTGCTTAATTTGCAACACATCACTTAAAGACAGTATTCAATTTGTGAAATACAATAATTGAAACTATAACATCTCCAAAGATTAATCAGTAATTCTTCTTAAGACTGGAGCTGTAAACTGGAATAGAGTAATATAGTTCCTGTTGGAAGGGACGTACAACAATCATCTAGTCCAACTGCCTGACCACTTCAGAGCTGACCAAAAGTTAAAGCATGTTGTTAAGTGCATTGTCCAAATGCCCCTTAAACACTGACAGGCTTGGGGTATCGACCACCAATCTAGGAAGCCCGTTTCAGTGTGTGACCACCCTCCCAGTAAAGAAATGCGCCAGTCTAAACTTTCCCTGGTGCAGCTTTGAACCATTCCCATGCATCCTGTCACTGGAATCCAGGGAGAAGAGCTCAGCACCTCCCTCTCCCCTTCCCCTCCTCAGGAAGCTGTAGGAGCAGTGAGGTCGCCCCTCAGCCTGCTTGTCTCCAGCCCAGCCCTCAGCCCTCCTCCCAGGACACGCCTTCCAGCCCTCGCACCAGCTTTGCTGCCCTCCTCTGGACACGTTCGAGCACCTCCGCATCCTCCTGGAACTGCGGGGCCCAGCCCTGCCCGCAGCACTGGGTGAGGCCGCCCCAGCACTGAACACAGCAGATAACCCCCGCCTTGCCCGGCTGGCCGCGCTGTGTCTGATGCACCCCAGGCTGCGGTTTGCCCTCCTGGCTGCCAGGGCACACTGCTGGCTCCCCGTGAGCCTGCTGAACTAAGAAAGTAGGAGTCTGACTAGGGAACATCATCTGATTATGCCAGTGTCTAATGAGCTTGTAATTAATTCAAAGAGATAAATAGAAGTGGTGTTTTCATGAATTACATTGTGTAAAGGTTTGTTAGCACATTTCTGAAAACGTATGTTTCATTAGTAAGTAACAGCACTTGCTGGTATTAAACAGTATTGGTTGAATTTCTGACTTCTTTTTAGTGGTGGGTCTTGTCATGGCTTTTATAATGTTGAAGAATGCTCAAGTGGTTCTAAATAAATGAAGGTATTGTCTAGTGATTTTTTGAATGAGGAAAAACAACTGCTGTAAGATTGCTTTATTATGGTAATTTCAGAGAGTATTTTGCTTAGCAAAGTAATATAAGAATACTTGGGCTTCAGAGCAGAGGTGTTTAAAGCTAAAGAAAGAAATGGGCCATGCCAGTGAGAGATAATTGAGAGCTATTACTGATTTGTGTTTAAAGGAAACAAGTTTTCTGAATTTCAAATAAAAGCAATGAAAAAAATTTGATTTATATCAAGTATTCTATAAAACAGAAATTTTGTGCTTTTTAGTGGTTATTCCACATGTTACATGGAATATGTTTATGGATGTGATTAAATGTTACAACAGTCTATCTCTCCGCCTTTCTAATTTTTTACATTTAATCCAGTAATTAATTTGTAAAGCTGTCGGTTTTTTGTTCAAGTCAGTAGATTTGCACTTAATGAAATGCAGAAATAGGAAACTGTTGAAGAGTGCTATCTTGAAAACTTAGTTTGTTGCAAGCAAAGCAAACAAAACCACTATAACAGGACTTGAGCTTTGGAGACAGTAGCCTTACAGGTCAGACCAAAAGACTAGCAGTTTTTTAGTCGAGGGAAGAGGTCTAAATGGGAATAGGGTGTGATCAAAGTTTGCAAAATGTTCAAGATGGTAGATGAGCTGTGGGCTCATCAATGTGGAACTGATTTTTGCCAAAACCTCTTAGACTGAGGTTGAAAGTGCCTAAAGTTAACCTTAAAACTAATAAAAGAACATACTTCTTGTATGCTGTCCAAATACATTCTGGAATGTGTTGTGACGGGAGGTTGTGGAGGAAGGTTTAAAAAGGGATGAGAAAAATTCATGTTTAGAAGTGCTGATAGACAGATAGGAAATGCAATAGGCATTATAACATTTTTTTGCTTGACAGCTGTGCATAGTGAGGGGAAATTAAGGGAATAAGCCATAATGGCTAGACTTGGTCAGCATTATTATTGCTGTGATCAAATACAGGGCTAAATGATTCTCTGGTCAGATTTAGTCCATGTTTTTTTTTTATATATGTTCTTCAGTAACAGTAAGATGGAATTTCATGTGACAGTACTGTTGGAAATGTAGTGTGTGGATTATTCTCAGGTTATAATGCTTTTGCAGTGGTTTTATATAGAGAGTTGGCGTGGTTTGTCCATGCAAATAGGTTAACTGTTGATAAAGTCTTCTCTCGAGGAAAATCTTAAGAAAAAGCCCAATATATATTTATGTGGCTTTGATACATAGAGATTGCAGTTAAGAATGTTTCATCTAGTTCAAAAAAAAAAAGACTTCTCCCCATCCTGAATCAGTCTTTCTACAGGGCAGGAGACCTGCTATCCTGCCTGTACCAATTTTGACGTTCCTGATGTTGCACATGGAGGCATTCACAGTCTTCAACATATTCCTTGCTGTCATACTTTATAAAGAACACCTATATCCATAGGAGTAGAAATTTAAAGCTTTATAGTATCGCACATCAGAAGAGAAGGTGAAAGCAAACACCTACTTGTCTCAAAGTTTTGTGTCCTGTCAGTGCCCTTCTCTTGTATACAGAGAAGATGAGCTCTGGAAATTTTGCAATAGATCTGTGTTAGTTTTGTTCTAAAATTTATACTAGATGTTGATGTGAGATCAAATTGCTTAACTTAAAATGACTGCCCTGGAACATTTAATAGGGAGTGTAGTACTAGCTGTATGTCTTGATGTTGAGACTTAATCCTTACGTTGGAAAAGGAACTGCCACAACTGCCATCTCTGAAGGAGGACACCTGACACTGAACACCAAAATGAGACCCTTCAGATGGTCAGTCCTGAGTTTATGTATGTAGGAGAATATATTAATGGCAACATTGATTTCAGACAAGAAGGAAGGTTGAATGTTTTTCCAGTTTTGCTGGCTTTTGTCTCTTGGACATCACAAAGAATGCTCAAGCAAGGCAGTATTAGCTCTTTAATGGAGATTTCTCCCTTCTCTTGATTAGTATTTTTCTGTGTGGAGAACTTCTGTGTACTCCAACTTTTTTAAAAAAACACAAAACCTGTTTTTTAAAGATGCAAGAAAAGGTGTAAGCATTTTCACTTTATCATCTACAAGTTTGGGAGATGCTTGAAAGTACCAGCTGAAGCATGTATGTTGAGCTCCATTGAGGCATGCTGAATGGCAGTGTCTGACTGAGGGTGAAGGACAAGAGGATGTGGGAGCACCTGAGGGGTGTTAAATATACTGTTAAACTCTAATCTGTATATTCTGTACTTCTCTAATATTTGCACCACTTCTAGAGAAGACAAGTCATTCATAAACTGAATGTTAGAACTACTTAAAAATTGTGAAGTGTATTTTATTTGACTACTGTAGCATTTGCATTGTCTGTCTCTTTAGTTTAATGTCACTTGCCTACGGTTTAAAAATAAAAGTAAGGAAAGAAGATTGCATTTTCTGGTTGCTACTTTGAAAGCAGGAGTTTTCATGATGCATAAAGAAGTTAAAAAGCAAACTTTGCAAGTAGACTTGTGGAATCAAATAACACATTTTGAGTATGTTTTAAATAAATTATTTTAAAATTTATTAAATACATATTTATTTTTCTTTTTGTTAACTTGCTATAGCTGAAATTCTTATAGTCTTTATATGCACTTGTGTG